ACGAACGAGCCGAACACGAGCTGCTTAACGAGTCGAACACGAGTTGTTCACCAACAACGAGCCAAATTGACAGCCCTAAATATGTTAGACAGTTCCCGTCATCATCCACATGCATAAAAAAAAGGCCACTTAGGGCGAGCTTCACACAAAAATGAGTCGTCCTGTTATATGGTCTAGGTATGCAAAAAAATAGAAATTTTTAAAGTTCAAAAGAAAAGCTAGATCCGACGCATCAATAGGGGCTTCTGACTTCAAACATCTCTTTTCATAGTAGATTGCAAAAAGTGCATAATATTGGCATTATCACCTTCAATAGTGATACCTTGACACTCCATCATCCAAGGTTGACAAATATTTTGGAAGGATGAGATGGCTTGAAGCTCCACTTGAGCACTAACCCAATGTAGGAAATGGTGTCCCGTGGCAACTAAGCCTTTGCCATATTCATCTCGAAAAATCACCCCAGTCGTCATAGACCCAGAAGTAGTAAGTGCGCCTTCAAAGTTTATCTTTATCCATCCAGGAGGGGGAGGGTGCCAAAAAGTAGAGGAGACCAACCGGTTCGGTTGGCTAGCATCCTGTTGCTCCCAAAAAAGAAATCAGTAAGTCATCGTGAGCGCCTCGAGGACGGTGCTTCCATTGTAGACTTGCCCGACATAAATCTAAACTGATTATAAGACATTTTTATATCAAGTCTTAACCTATGTTCAATCACTCTCTCCCATAGTTTTAATGTATGACACATTAACTATGGCAAAAAAATTCAACAAGGTATAAAAAATGTTAGCATTAAAAGTAGGTTTTTCTGCTAATTAATGAGCACCAAAATTTAGCCAATTTTGAAGAATTTTTGTTTTCAAGTACAAAATCTGATCAAAATTCAGACAAGAGTTTAACTTTTAAATGATAAAATCTATTCAAACCAAGGTATTTAAACAAATTCACAAGATAGAGGATAGAATGAGGAACAAGTATTCATCTATGTCTGCTTTTTCTTCTAAAGCAAAACAAAAACCAGTTAAATAGAGAGAATACAATGCAAACACAATACCCATAAATTTTAAAAAGGAAAAGAAAAAGGTACATGCAATAAAGCTCTCGAGAACAACGCCAAGATCACGTCAACTTCTGGAAGACCTGTTACCGCAACATTCGCCTCAAATCCTCTCTTAAAAGCACGCCTCCAAGAGAAAATAGCAACACAACACCACCAAGCATCCCTCAATGAGTGAAGGCCCTCTACTAAGCTATTATTGTGGCAAGGGCTGAGCGTACCATGGCGGGTAAGCTCACAACAAACAAGAACCTGGAGGAGGATAAACCCTCGCCATATACCCAACGGTGGGGAAATCTGAGTGGGGAAACCTAGAGGAGGGTAACGACTTTTAGATAACCCTCCTGTGAGTAACCTTACAGCGGAGGAATGCCAACAAGCAACAGATGATGACCGTAAGACACAACTTGTCACTGGAGAAGAGGATGGAAAATTAAAGAACAGAAATGATAGAGCCGAAAGTAGACATAAAGTGTTTGGGTTTTTATAGGAAATGCCAAAGAGGAGGAGGAGAATCAATCCAATGAAGTTTTGCCTAATCCTGATACAGCTCATTTTTTCGGAATCACATAAACTGATACTAGGCCAATTTTGAAGGTTTGTATGAAGGAATTTGAAAAAACTTTCAAAATGTTCTAAAGAAAGTTCAGATAATGAAAATCAACTGCTTGAAAGCAAATAATAGATGAACAATGACGAAGATATAGCCAAAATTAAAACAGTAAAATAAGATAAATTGGGATGATTTTTATTATTGGAAAATGATATTTTCATTGTTTGTTCAAAACAAAACTCAACATATTGAGACTAGTTAATGGTTTTGATTAACACAATTAAATGTTTAGCAAGATAATATCTTCATTTTTTATATAAGAACAAGAGTAACAAACAAAATAAGATGAGATCGCAAAAAAGAATGAAGAATGATAGAAATACAAGGAAAATGCAATTCCTAGAGGGAAAACATGATAAGCATTAATGTGATGGATGATAACGAATACTACTTCAAGAAAGAATTCTTCACAGTGGTTGTGATCTTCCTTCCTCAGAAGTCCATCTTCAAGGGTTATTTGCCACTCACACTCAACAATCTTTTACTTCGATGTAAGAGAACACAAAAACAAAAGAACTCAAGAAAAACTATTTCCATGCATTTCATCATTCATTTTTTCATGCCTAAAAAGATACAAAACATATATAAAAGGCATCTACTAATCATCAACATCAGCATTCAAAACTAAAGAGACAAAATAAAGAAAAAATGAAAGAGAGAGGGATAAAAAAAGGTGGTGAAGAGCTCAAAAGTGGAGGAAATGTAAAAGAGTGATGATGGAAAAGTAAAAAGGTAATGGGGAGGTCAAACGATCAAGGGGATTTCAAACACTACTATCACCCAACATCTTTCTAAGCATGGTGGTCTGTATAACCACAAAATCAACCTATTAAAGACTAAAAAAAAACTGAAGTAACCTATTAAAGATAAAGTAAAAACTGAAGTACTCGACATACATTAAAATAACATTATGACACGTCACCATACATAAAATTTTCAAACATAGAATCACATAGACACAGCACAATAGGTTGTTTTATGAACACGAATCTAAAATCATGAAATGTTAAACTAACTCTAAAATACAGCTTGCATCATCAACCCATAAATCAAATTTATTTAAAAAATCATAAATAAAATTGCGAGCTTCTTATGCCCAATTTAGTGACAACAAGTCTTCTTAAAATTAGTCAAAACATATTAAAAATAGTTTAGAAAGAAGAAGTTATTTCTCATTCACTTATTGGATAAAATATTTAACCAAGTGAAAAATTCATGGAGTCAAATCATTATCAATAACTTTTCAGCATTTCAAGTTTGATTGCAGCGCAGTAGGAAATGGGTGATGCCAAAGTGGCTTGAACTTCCAAAGACAAATGGGAATCAAGCAAGACGTCAGCCTGGCGAACTAATATATTACGCCTTTGTAATGACAAAGGGTAAAATATTACGACAAATGGAAGTAAAGAAAAAAAACAAAACCTCGGCATTGAGATCCTAGAAATTAGATTGAACACTAAGATCGACTCCCCATAGGCAAAAATGTTAAAAACTCAATGGAAATATTTCTGAATAATCCAAATATAAGCATTCCTCATAATTTCAACTAACAAACGAAATCTCACAATGAATCTCCTAATCATATCCTACTGTCATCAGATACTCATGCCAAAACCAAAAATAAAATTTCTGAAGCAAATTAGTTTACCTTTTCTTTTTATAACTTCATCAGCAATACAGAGTTCATCCTTGAAGCGGTTCTCTGCTTCTTCCTTCTCTCGTGTAAGTTTGTAAATTTCTTGTTTTCCTACAAAAAGAAGATATTATTAAACAATCTTATGCAAAACTAGGTATGAATTCCTCAGCTATTTTTTGTTCCAGTCCATTGCGATCATATTAGTTCTGATCAAATTAGTTCTGTACATACGACAATAAAAGCGTGACTAGAGAGAAATGTTAAGTTCTAACCAAATTTTATTTTGTTATCTGCACATTCGAGTTTTGTGGATAAATCGTCAAAGTGAACCTTCAAGCTATCCAAAACTTTAGCATTCTCCAAAAGCTTTTCCTCAATTAACTTCTTGTCTTCCTCGGCTATAATTGTAAAAATGCAGAAATAAAATTATAACTTAGAGAATAAATAGTCTCCGACCAACAGAAAACCAGTACTTGACCATACCAGCATCATTCTGATCAGCTAATTTCTGAACTGCCTCACTTAAATTATCACTAAGTGCCTTAGTAGAAGAGAATTTTGTATGTAATCCATCCCAGATTTTTGCATCTTCCGCTTGCTTCACCTTAAGCTTTGCATTTTCATTAACTGCTTCCTGTATTTTGGCCTCTAGCACGTGTATCTGCTCTGTTGCTTTCCTCAGTTTTGTGTGCTTCAATAACCACATGAAATTCAAACTTATAACATCAGTCAATTTTGTGGATGAACAGGACATATGTAGCAAGATGTGTTTCTTTCAGATCATAAAGCTTAGGAAGAAAATAAAACAGCAATTTAATGTCATTCTACGTACAACCTATTTAGCACCAACTATTAGAATTAAAGAGGTAGCAACAAAACTAAACATTGTATTAAATTGGTAGGTCATGTTTTTTATAGCAACATTTTCAAGTGCGTTGCACATTCCACTTTTAAGGTAATCCTGGAACTGAAAGCCAAATTTGACCATTAAAGCCCGTGTTAAAGGCCACAATAGTAATTTAAGAAAGGATAATCATTTGAACCGGCTCATCATCAATAGTCCGGGATGGGCAGCAGAAAAAATATTCCAATGCCAGACAGTAAAAAGAAGGTAAAAATATTCCAAAAATATTCGGCTTCTTAATTAACAAGTAATGAATAAACATGTATGATAAAAAAAAAGAGAAATTGCGTTGAATAAAAAAGAGAGTAGAAGATGACAATAAAAATGAATAACCTCCACGACAAAAGATTCTTCAATGTGTTATTATTGCCAAAATGGAAACATGAAGTGAAAATTAAGGACAAATATAGTTATAATGACTGAATGAAACAAATAAATAGTTATATTACAAATAACCTCCATGGAAAGTGATTCTTTGAAAAGTTAATATTATAGAAGAAGGAAACATGAAATGAAAAAAAATGACAAATATAATTATAAAATTGAATGGCACAAAAGAATAGTTATATTAAAAATAAAGTACATAGACTACCCTTGAGTAGGGCTATCAAAAAAGCTCGTCGTTCATGAACAGCTCGTATTCAACTCGTTAAATAGCTTATGTTTGATCGCTCGTTAAGCAAACCAGTCAAATATGAACAGCTTTTTATGCTCGATTTAAAAAAGCGCCAAACACGAATAAATGTTTGTTTGCATGTGTTTGGCTCATTTTGGCTCGAAATAATTAAATAATAATATATAAAAGTTAAAATAATGATATCTTTAATATGATATCAGAAGTTTGGTTTATATAAATATAAAAAAGAAAATTTAGATGTTAGATATGTAAATACATAGGAATTTGGTGGTATTTATGTAAATACACTTGTTCCCAAAAATCAAGTGGTGTTACATATGTAATGTCACGATGCAGTCCAATTCTTGGAATTAACAAAGACAATGACAGACAGCCAGAAGGTAGAAAAAAATTTCTCCTTTTTCCTATTTCTATCACTAACAGCTTAATACTCAAATATTCATAAAAGAGTCACTAAAAAAATAAATTAAATAACAAGTAAAAGTTTTACCTTTTTCGGTAGTTGTTCTCTCCTATTGTACAAATTAGTTCATCTTTTATTCATCTTATTTAAAAATTTAAAATCTAAAAAAATATTAAAAATAATATAATGAGTTATCTAAAAATAACCCGTAAGCAATCACACTTCAAAATTAGTTACCCAAGGAAAAGAAAGTAATATGCATGTTGGTCTTTTGTATATTACTACATGAGATCTTATAATACTCTAATGTACGTGTCCATGCTATTTACTCAACAAGAATAATCTAAAACTTCTATATGCATTTACTTTTACTGTACTTTACAATGTTTAATCTTAACTTTTATTCTATAATTTTATCATACATATTCGTCATCAAAACAACCTAACATGCCCCTGATTGATATTATCTCGTTGGCATAACAGTTAACTATTTAAATAATATCATAAGTTTTAGAGGTTGAAAAGACCCTCAAATGCCCCTGACCGATATTTTCCCGTCGAGACAGCGGTTGGTGATCTAAAAATCACAATTGTCTGGGATGATAAGCTCTGTCTACTCGCCCCTAGCCGATATTCTCATGTCTGCACAATGGTTAGTCATCACATCACAATTATCTTAGATGGTAGAAAAACAATTATGCACATGGGTACACGGGCGTCTTCTACGGCCCGCCTATACCATAAGTGGGTGAACTCATCATCTTAACATTCACATATAAGCATTTATATACGAGTTATTTCATTCTTCCAGATCATGCATTTTTTTTCTTATGAGACATTACATCTATCTAGTGATGAATAAATATAATCATTATATTTATAAGTCATGAAATAAACTGATATATGCATGTTTACTAAAATTCTTAAACTCAGGCAATAATGTAGCATATATATAAGTGATCATGTAATAAGTTAACGTGTATATCTATAATAAAACATACAGGTCATGCAATAATCTGATATCTTTCTAAACGATTGTTATGCAGCTATATTTAACATACATAATTACTCTAATGTGGAATTATTCATCATGCATAACTTTCCTATCAAGCATATCTTTTTTGTTTAACAATATGAAGAATCTAATGTAATTTAAGTCTAATTACATTAAAGCATATATGAAATCAAACATACAGTTTGAAATAAATAAATTTACTAAAATTTAAAAATTTAACTACTCACCTCAAGTCTTTAACCGTTTTACTCCTTTCGATCATCTAATTTAATAACTTGAATTGTCAAAATCCGATTAATGTTGTTAATTCTTCTTGTTTTTAGATAGAAATATTTTCCACCTCAAATTTCTAACATTAATTAGCAATAAAATTTAATTTAACACTTAAATCATTATTCATTTAATTATAATTAATTTTCAATTTAAGCAGTTATCCTTTATGCTGAAATTACTTCGTCTCCCTTCAGTCCTAATGCTCCTCGATATAAAAATTTTCTATTTTAGCAAAACTTAATATTAACATTTAATATAATTTCAATTAATTATTTATTTTAAATATATACAACACATTAAAAATTCTAATATTTATCTTATCCTCCTTGTGTAAAATCAACAACTAAAATCTTAAAATCATACAAAGCAAAAGTTCTTCGACCTATCGCATTCTATCATCAAATAATAAATTCATTATTAATAGTTGATAACATTACTTATAACTATTATTTACTAATTATACAATAATCCTGACATAATTAATATTTATAAATCTAAGAAAATAAACCCTAGCTTACCTTATAAGAGCTTCGGTTCTCCACCTCACAACTGTGATTCTTCCTTTTCCCTCGTACAGGAAGTTTGTGCCACCTTACTCCCTTAAATTAGGGATTTAATAGTTCTGATCCTGATACAAATTAATAAAAACTAATAATAATACTTATAACATTTATTAAATTAATTAAATATGAATTTAAAACTCAACACTAACCTTAAAATAATTTTGGTCAACTGCTCTTACCCGCGCACAAGTTGTCTCCCTCTCCTTGGCACCAAAAACTTTTCACTTACAATACTAATTTTAAACTCATATTACTTTAATATTAACATCATTACATTTTCGAGTCCAAAGGCCTACGTTTGAGTTGAACTAAAACTGAATATATGGAATGTAATTTTAGTATTAGTAACTCTAGTGGCAGAGTTGTAAATATGAGGGTTAAAATCATTAAAAGGTGTTAATGTTCTAGATATCTCAGGTCTATTGTTCATAGTGATGGTGATATAAATGGAGATGTTATTAGTAGAATTCAAGTTGGTTGGTTGAAGTGGAGGAATGCATCGGGCCTATTGTGAGACTAAATGAAGTGGTTGGTTGAAGTGGAGGAATGCATCGGGCTTTTTTTGTGAGACTAAATGAAAATTTTATAAGATAGTGGTGAGACCTGCAATGCTCTATAGCGCAGAATTCTAGCCTTTTTAAAAGAGAAGCATAAAACTAAGTTAAGTATTGTCGAGATGAGAATGCTTAGATGGATGAGTGACTTTACACTTACTAACAAAATTTTGAAATGAATATTAGGGTTGGAGCAGCTTCAATTGCAAACAAAATTAGAGAGTCGTCTTGGACGGTTTGTTTAAATTAAACGTTGAACATCTGATGATCTGGTTATGAGAGTAGATGTTTTAGATTCGACTTATATTAATAAAGAAAGAGGTAGACCTAGAAAGAATTGGGCATATTATACAAAAATGATCTTAATTTATTAGAATTAAATGAAAATATAACACTCAATTGGATGCAAATGGAGAAAAAGGATTTATGTAGCAGAGCCCACTTAGTGGAACAAAGGCTTGTTGTTGTTGTTGTTGTTGTTGTAATTCAATAGCTTAAAAATTGCTCTTACCCTACACCCTGCTCGGTCTTGTATTCCACGCATGTGAGCTTTAAACTCCATTGATAGGCCACGATTCGTCTTCTCCACTCCTCACGGAAACACCACACGATAGCTGTCTGCGAAGCCATCTCCTCCTTCTCCGACATCGATTCCTTCCATCAGCTAGGGCTAGGTACGACACGTCTTCCTTGGCTTGACAGTGGTATCGTGCATGCAGTAAGGATGTTTTGACTCCTGCACTAGAACCCGCAAGCAAAGTGCCTGCTTCACACGGCTAGGCATGAGGTCAAATCTCGAGTAAGAAAAAAAAAAACACACAACTCCTTTATCCTTCTCTTCTTCTTTCTTTCCTATCGATCTGCTAGGGCACGCAACCCATTCTCCTCTCCTCTCTAATCCTCGCTTTCAGTCTCTCGTTCTCGCTTATCCATTGATTTGAAGCAGAATTCGACTCTCAAGTCGAAACAAAAGGATGCTTAGCCTTATGTCTATTTGATTACCCATATTATTATCATTTATAATTTTTTTAATACAATTATTACATGTAAATACATAAGAATTGGGTGGTATGTATGTAAGAGCATTTTTCCCAAAAATCAAACCACGAAAGGCCCCACTTGTAGTTGTGTTGCAGTGTTACGCGGGTAAACAAATAAGAATTTGGTCTTATGTTTAAAAACGCATAAGAATTTGTTGAACTTTAAACCCACAATGCTATTTTGAGAGGAATTGGAATATTCATCCAGTATAAATCTGAAAACGAAAGCGAGAAAATTAGAAGTTACTTAGCTTTACGTTGTTTCACATGTATGTCAAATAATTCATTTAGGTGAAAATGTTTTAAAATTAAAAATCAATTTTTAAAATCGGGCAAAGTATCATATTTCCGTTAACTTTAATTTTAGGCAACTTATTCTTTCATCTTCAGCATACACGACGAGGGAAAACACAAATTCACTATGAGCAGGTAATCCCTTCTTAAGTAACAGGATTACGTTTCAGTACGACAGATTACAGAATAGCAAGGAAAGATGTGGAAAAGATCAAACTCTTGAGGGATTGAACTAGGTTTACTCTTATATTCACATTTGCACATAGAAACACATGATTATAATTTTAATTGAAGAGGTATGGAAAGAGAACAAATTCTAGTAACAACAAGACTAGTGGTGTTAAAGAAATGAGGTAAAGGAAGTTCAATTTTTGAGCGACATAGCACTTTCACCAACTATAAGGCAACTTAAAGTTGAATGGAAGTAAATTTATAGCAAGTTATAAAATCTAATGGAAACATATAGTTTACCGCAGGAACTTACAAATAAGGACATAAAAATTAAGAGTGTCAAAGGCGTGAGAAACCAGCATGTAAAGTTCAAAGTTATTCAACTGTATGTTACAGGATAAAAACGTCAAAGAAATGTCACAGGAGATCAAAACATGAGATTAAGATAGCAATCACAGCAGAAGAACATCAAAGATATGAAGCAAATACTTCTCAAACAGGATTTTCTTTTTTTTTTTACCGCCAATTCAAGGTCGGTTTTCACCGATGCTTGTTCTCTAACCAGCTTGTCTGAAATAGAGCTCAATAATAAAATAAAACGTCAGACAAGCACAAATCCTCATGAGAATGGTGTGTAGTGAAAGGATATCCAGTCAAGAAAATGAAAATACCTGCCGTTATCTTTAAATTCGTGAAACTTCCATGTGACAACGAATCCACTTGAGGCCTTATAGTTGCGATCTGAGGTGTTTTCTCCATTCCAACCAAGGATCCACTCAAGGATCGGAGTTGATCGAAGCTTTTCAAACTGGAAATCCCGAGTTTCTTCATCTTTAAACCTTACGAAAGATCGCCCACTACGGAATCAAAAACTGCCTAAAGAAACACCTCCCTCTCCGCGGAATGAAGGGAATATTCAAAGAAACCCTAGGAAGAAGATCTGCCTCTGCTCACCAGGACTACCTTGCTTAATCTCCGTATAAAACCTCGATTCAGTAGCCTGAGAGCGGGAAATGGGCTTCGAGGAAACGGCGGACGTTGCCTTCGGCTTTTCGTCGTTGAAAGAGTCTCGCAGCAGAAGATAAAGCTTCAACAGTGAACCCAGCCTTGGATGAAAACCTAGGGAAATATCTGCCACCACTCAAGCGGCAACTGTGCCTGTCTTCCTAAATCGGCAACTGTGCCCGTTTTTCAAAACCCTAACACCTCGAAGCCGAAAATGGGCTTTAGGAAGCCAGTACGGGTAGCTTTTCTTCGCTCGAGAGAACCGATGCCCCAGCGGATGCGAAACATTTCAAACGGCCGCACCAGGAAAGTATTTATAGTTTGCCTCGTTTGCCGCGGACCACGTAAAGCCGCGTCCGTGTTCCCAGAAAAATCAAGTTTTGTGAAAATATTGGGTCCCATCCGCTTATGCTGTCCGGTAGTTCTCATATCTTAACAATAAAAAAAATATTCCATCTGAAATTTTGTGTACGGCGAATTATCAAAGAATATATCGTCTGCCACTTACGTGTATCGGTGTATGATAATGTGATCATTTGTGATTGGTCTTTCAGACATGCGATATATGGACAGAATATTTTCTCGGTGTATGTTAATATTTATTATATGTTCGAATTTGTTTATGATAAATGTAATATTTTCTCGTGAATTAGGGTCTAAACGAATCATGTCATCATCTAATTTGAGCTCGCTTCGATGAACTAATAAGAATTTACAATGAAATCTTCTAACTTTGTCTTCACAATATATTTAATCATTGATATTTGAAGATTATAAATAAATTATTAAACACTTTACAAGAAAAAATCTAAGGTATTACAATGAAATTGAAGCAAATATCCAAACAACAATTAAAAATTAGGCAGAATGGATGAGATACCTTATTAGATAAAGCCTCACATTTTTATAATATTATCGAAATAATATTTCATCTACGAACTCTCTCTTTAGATAATGTTTCAAAAATGAGCTTCGTCTTCAAGTGCATCCCAACTGTTTCCTTCATTAGTGCTCTGCCTGCTATCCTCCTCAACGAGAATTTCATCTTCAAGTGCATCCCAACAGTTTCCTTCTTTAGTGATCTCTGCCCGGTATCCTCCTCAACGAGATCATGGTGTTTAGCGATTTAATGGAGGTGTCGTTTTTTTTTTATTGTTATTTTGTATTAATATTTTAAATGTTATATATTTAAATAGTAAATTTTGGGTTTGATACTTGTAAATTTGATAATTTTTAGGTGTTATGTATATAAATCCTCAATCAATATATGTGTCTTGATAGGAATTCTCTAAGAATAATTCTTGACTTTAACGGGGCATAGAATAAATTAGAAACTAAACAACACCGTTGAATAACAGGATAGCACCAATTTGAGAAAACCAGAACAAAAATTTAAAAAGAAAACTCAATCAAAGCAATCAGAAAAGCACACGAGACTTTTACATGAAAAACCTCGATCAATCAAAGCAATCAGAAAAGCACACGAGACTTTTTCATGAAAAACCTCGAGAACAAAAAAAAATCATGGAGTTACACCATGAGAATTTTTCAATATAAAATTTAGAACATTTTTACAGAACAAAAAAAATCATGGAGTTACACCATGAGAATTTTCCAATATAAAATTTAGAACATTTTTACAAAAAACTCACACCAGTTCCCTTTACACACAAAGAAACTTATAGGACTCGTTCCAAACCTTTCCTGCTCCGATCCAACGCAAAAAAAAAAACACACGCCTAGATCCCATAAATCCTCCTCTCCAACAGTTCTCTCCTTTAACAAAAACTTGTCGAAGAAAATTGTGCAGAGCATCTTCATTCGCCGCTCAAATTTGGGATTAAAACTCAAATCCCACTTGAGACCGCCCCTAACGCATATGCACCAATAGGTTATTGCAAAAGCGTTGGCCTCTCTGTTTGAATCCCCTTAGTTGGGCGCTTAGGCACCTAAAGATTGGCGCATAAGCGCCAATGCCTCTGGAATCAAATAACGCATCACACATAGTGGGCGCATATGCGCCCAAAGCCGGTGCATAGGCATCGGTTTCTCTGTTCGAGCAGCACCCAAGTTGGCGCTTAAGTGCCCATAACCGTGTGAATAGGAACTAGGTGTTCTGCCCTGCTGCTCACTAAATCAGTCTCTACTCATAACAATTCCTCATTTGGAGACTGATTATATTGAGCATCAGTCATCTGCACCTGCACCTCCATCTAAATCGACTTCATATTCACATACCGTGGTGTGGCTCACCTATAGTCTCAACCTTTACATTGAAGAACAAAGCACTGAGTTAGGTTCCACATTTCCTGACAAATCTGAATCAAAAAATCCCTATATACTGATCCATACGCTTCCATAAAAAGTATCATGTTGACTGTTTCTCACAAATATCTGAGAATCCACTTTATCACCTCTCACTGATGTTTGATTGGATAGCCCCTGTTGACCACTCTCATTGTAAATGCAATATCAAACTTCCAACTACTGAATCATACAAATTTCTCTCCATCTGTACTTGCTCTGCTTTAGAGTTAAGCAATAACTCCTTAGATAGTTTGAAGTGACTACCTAAGAGAGTCCTAACTGGTTTTGTCTCACTCATGTTGAACCTTTGTATGATCTCCTCAACATACACTGCCTGAGATAAGTTCAGTGTTCTTGTACTCATGTCCCTGTTGATTCTCATCCCAAACATCTTCTTGGTTGGACATAAATCTTTCATATCAAATTTACTTGATAACTGTTTTTCAAGTCTCTGGTTTTCTTTATATCTACCCATGTAATCAGCATGTCATCCACATAAAAGAAACAAAATATAACAATTATTGAATTGTTAGAAGAAGCAACAGTGGTCTGTCTGACACTTCAAGTACCCATTGTCTGACATGAGCTTCTCAAACATCCTGGATCACTATCTCGGGGCTTGCTTCAAGCCATAGATGTTCTTCTTCAATTTGTATGCATGTATAGCTCCTCCTCCATATCTCCATGCAAGAAAGCTAGTTTTACATCCATCTGCTCCAGAAATATATCTTTCACTGCTACCAGAATTATCACAACCCTGACAGCAGTCATCTTCACTACTACAAAGAACATCTCTGTATAATATGCTCCTTCTCTCTGCTCGAATCCATTCACAACAAGTTTTGTCTTGCAGCGCTTATTATCATCTTACTCCTCTTTCAACCTGTAGACACACTTGTTATGCATTGCACTTTCGCCATTTGGTAGTGCCGTCAAATCTCAGGTTTGATTTGACTCCAAACCCTCGTGCTTCTAACACGCTCAGTGATTGTTCTGTTCGTGCACTCAACCACGCCATGCTATTGCGGTGTCCCTAAGATAGTGAACTCATGTCTGACCTCTGTAGCACAGAAATTTCTGAACTTTTGATCACAATACTAGCCTCCATTATCAGCTCTAAAACACTTCAACTTCAAGTCTGTTTCATTTTCTACCACAGTCTTCCACTTCTTAAGGACTACAAATATATCAAATTTTTTGCTTTAAAAAATAAACCATATCTTTCTTATGCGATCATCAATGAATGTGACAAAATATCGAGAACCTCCCATGGACTAAACTAGAATAGGACCCCATATATTAGTATGCACTTACTCTAGTTTGTTTGATTTCACCATTGACATGCTCTTCAAGAAGAAACTTTCTGCTTGTCATAAATATAGTCTTAAAAAAATTCCAGATCAACTGATTTCAAGCCCTGAAGCTTATTCTTTCAAAGCAAGGACTCTGTACATTTCTCGCTCATATGGCTAAGCCTACGTTGCCACAGACCCACATCCACCCTAATTTCAGCCACATCGATGAAATCAATTATTTCATTGATTTGATAAAGGGTGACTTTAATGTCGCCCCGGGCCATCACTAATGTCCCCCTGGTCACCTTCCACGAATTACTTGTGAAATTAGTCACGAGTTCTTGACCGCGACTTTATATATGCTTAAAAATACAAGATAAATATGGACGTAATAAATATTTAATAATTGTAAAGTAACGCTTATCAATGCAAGTAAAGTAATATAGGGCTCTAATGAAGTCCTAGATATCGATCCCACAGGGAGTGGTTTAGAACTACGAACTAAGATTTCAGAAAAGCAATACTTTAATCACAACAACGAAGTTCAATTTGCTTATCTGTCACTAAGAGAAAATTAAAATAAATAGGTAAATTTAATAACTCTTAAATAAATAATGATACTAAGGAGGGTCTAATTGTGATATTCAATATATAAGAAATCATTCTTCTCCTTGTCAAGAAATTATAGTGAATGGATAAAGTGAATTAGTTCAATTTATATTGTGTCAAATAGGAGCATACATATTTTTTACCCTTTGGTTCATGCATAAAGAACATTGACTAAGTTTAGTCATATGCTTGTTTACTGATTCTGCAGCTAGGCTGGGAGGATACCGGCTCTCACTTTGGAACTCCCACGTTCCCCTCACCTGAGGGCTAACATCTACACTTTAGCACCCAAACGATAGGACCGAATTGGGGATTTTAGTCCGTCACTCTAAAATCTCCAATTCTACGCCCGATAATATTATTTCTCTATTTATTTGCACATAACTTCCAAGGGCTTTGATCTATCTGAATCTTGGATGTAATCCTCACTTTAGTTGTAAAACCCAACATACTTTAACAAATCAATTGACTATATTGAAAGTAAATTAAGATCGAAGTGAAAAGATCATCACAATTCCTTAAACATTTTCACGGAAATCACCATTTCACAAATCTTGAGACAAAGGAAAGATAGAGAAAACTACTCAGATCTCATGGGAAAGACACAATAAAACTCAAAATTCATATATAAAATTAAAGTCATACAAACTACAACAAGTAAATAACTTATCTCTAATTTCTCCCCAAGAAGACTCCTCGAAGTTCCTCTGAATCTCTTCCTTTTTTTTACACAACACATAATTCCTCTTCGAAGTAGCAAAGAGAAGAAGAAATCTCTCACTTTCCCTCCACTCTTACAATCTCTTGAAGAATTCCTCATAATTGTTAGAACCTTTCTAATATCCAAGGCCTCTAGACTCTCTCAAATTTCAACCAAAATGTTCTTTTAAATTTGTGGATGAGCTTTCCAAGACTTGCCAAAACATCCCTTCCAAATTTGGCCTTATCCAAAGCTTGAGTAGGCATAACCGTCGATCTCGCCGTCGGCGGCCTTTAGGGTACCATTAGCGGGCTTCTGAAGAATTTTGTCCAGTGGTCTCGAGAAAAACTCGCGGTCGGCGGGGTCGAGGACGCCGTCGGCGGCCTAGTTCAAATCTCCACATTTTGTTACTTTTCGCTCCTTTTTTCATTTTTTTGCTCCAATGACCCTAATTCATCATTCTTGCAATAAAACATCAAAAATACATTTCTTTAAAGTGCAATATCATTAAAAATAGTATAAAATAGGTATGAAAATCTCAACATATTTTCCTCTGGTCAGTTCTCACTTTGCCAGTTGTCATAAAACAATAAGATTTCTCTTCAAACTTGGAACATGTCTAACTTCAGTAAACTTCCAGACTGTTCTATTCGACAACTTGATATCAACACCACTCTTTTCTACTATACTGCAGATCTTGTTATCTATCAAATAAACATTCCCTAGATCACTCTGAGTGTAGTTTTTTAAATACCTCTCTATTTGGGCAAACATGAAAAGAGACGTTTGAATCCGCTATCCATAATCCAGTGCTGACTAGGGATAACACCAGGGAATCATTTTAGATTTCTCTAATAGAGATATTAGTATAATAACTACTTTTCTGCCCTCCACCACCAGCTTTCCTTGAAGCTTTGCAGTTCTTCTTGAAATATCCCTTATTACCATAGTTGCAACAATCTCCTCTGCTTGAATTAGGTTTTTTTTTCTTGGACTTTGGCCCACCTCTGCTTGTATTTCTGCTCAAATTCATTCATTTGTTATCAGCATTCAATGCAGAAACTGAAGATTCACTATTCATTATTTTTCTGTGAACTTCTTCATTCAACATCAGACTTATAATGTCATCGAAGTTCAACTTCAAAGTCCCTGAAAATTTACTCGTCGTCCTTACTAATTCATCCAGGCTGTCTAGCAATGAAGATAATATCATAAGTTCTATGATCTCACATCAAACTTGATCCCCACATAACACAATTGGCCCGTCATAACATTAAAGTTATTGAGATGTTTTGTCACTGAAGTGTCTTCCACCATTTTTATGTTGAATAATTTCTTCATTAGGAAAAGATTATTTGAAACTAAAGGTCTTTCATACACCTTCGCCAGTGTCACCATGAGATCCATCATAATTTTCTCATTCATAATATTGAACACAACAGATGAGAAAAGTGACAACCTGATCAAACCTAGTGTCATTCAATCCAACACATCCTATTCTTCCACAGGCATAGAATCAGACTTCCTTGCGATTCCTTGTAGTTGCAAGTATAATTTTTTTCTAATATAGTAAATCTTCCACCTGCATCTTCTAGAAATTGAAGTTTACCCCATTGAATTTCCTCATCTTGAATCTTGTTTCTTTGGTCATCGCTCCCACTCGAATCAAAGCCCGCTCTAATATCAGTTTGATAAGAATTCTTCTAAAATAATTCCCAACTTTACCGGGGCTTTGGATCAATTAGAAACTAAATCACACAGTGGAATAACAAAATTAAATCAATTTGAGAAAATTGGAACTAAAAGTTTAAATAGAAAGCACAATCAAAGCAACAAAAAAAACACACAAGAACTAAAAAAAACCACGGAGCCACACCACTGTAAATTTTTATTATGAAATTTATAATGTTTTTACAAATAACTCCCACCAGCTTCCTCTCTACACACAAGGAACTTACAAGACTCACTTCAGGCACATATACACTAAAAGGTTGGTGCTTAAGCGTCAGCCTCTCTGTACGTTATGCCTAAGTTGGGTGCTCAAGCGCCCACAGGCTGGCACATAAGCGCCAATGCCTCTGGAATCAAACAGTGTTATCACACATAGTGAGTGCATAGGCGTCAGTTTCTCTGTTCGAGCAGCACCCAAGCGGACGTTTAAACACCCACAACCCGACGCATAGGCATCGGGTGCTCTCTGTCTCGCTGCTCACCAAATCAGTCTACACTCAAAACATAGGTGTGCTTGTGCGCGTGTGTGTCAAACAGAAAATATGCCACCATTGATATTTTTTAAGGAAATTTTGATGTTTTGGATCCGCTCGTGCAACTCATTTTATAAATGGAGCTCATTTGAGTTAATTTGATGGCCATATAGGTGTTTTAGATCCAAACTATATGGGTCCACCATTGATATTTTTTAAGGAAATTTTGATGTTTCAGATCCGCTCGTGCAACTCATTTTATAAATGGTGCTAATTTGAGTAAATTTGATGGCCATATAGGTGTTCTAGATCCAAACTATATGGGTGTTTTTGCTATGCTTGATGGACATCATGTCGTTTTTGCTATGCTTGACTGTTTTGATCATGGAATGTCCCTTCATGTGTAATTTTGCAGCTCCAAATATGTTCATGTAGTTAATTTTATGAACGAGCATCATCTGGACAACTTCAAAGATCATTGAAGTGATTTAGATTTGGTCGACACATCATTGCATCTACTGCTCATCGCCTTCGTCAGAAGGTCTCTATTGAGCAATTATGTATTCTAAACACATTGGTGCAGTCCAATCTGCAAGCATGATATTATGAGATGTTTCAAGTGACTTCGAACATAATTGAAATATTTCATATCAAATTGCATGACATTGCATTTATAGTTCACTATTTTCGTTACGTTCAATCTACTCATATGTTTCAAGTGACTTCGAACATAATTGAAATATTTTCATATCAAATTACATGACATTGCATTTAAAGTTCGCTATTTTCGTTACGTTCAATCTACTCATCTCATAAAATGACATTCCCTACCTTATAAAATAGCTATATAGGTTAACATTCCCTACCCTACAGGCAACACCCACTACAAGTATCGGATCGGAGGCAACTCTTCCTCTCATTGCTACGATATAAGTCCTCATTTTTTGGGGTTTCTACTTGATCTTATGCCATAGGTTTATAAGTTCTAAATTTCAAATAAATAAAATAGCTTAAATTAAAAATAAATCCAAATTTAAAATATAAATGCCAATTTTAAGATAGGTTGAGATGTCATTAAACTTCTTAGTAGTTTGTGCTTCTTATTATTCCTCTCTTAAATCTAATCAGAATTGTTCAAAACTTAATCATTTCCGAATAGAATTTTCAAAGTGAATGTTCTTGAAAAATCAATGCTGAAAATCTATAGATACATGATCGCCAAAACTTTAATCTTTAAAAGCATGACATCCCTTAGATTGTATTTAACTACAAAGGCATACCCTTGTAGGAAACTTATACCCTTGAATAAAATAAATCTCATTCGATCCAAATTAGACAGGAAATAATCTTTAACAACATATGTCCCCGATCCTGAAATTGTTTGTTTTGTGCTTAAATCGATTGTCAAATAGTATTTTTATCTTCGAGAGAACTTATTATTTGCGATATCATGTCCAATTTTAAAATAAAAAATATTGACATTTGAGCAATCCACATCACCTTCTGACATCAACTACTGCAGTACTTTTTTGCGTGCAATGTCATAATGAAATTTAGCTAGGGTTAATTGGTGATGATAGCCATTCAACTACACCCCAAAATGATGAGCCAACCGCTCAACCACTATCTAAGTTCAACTATATACAAGACATGCCACATTTTATCTGGTTTAATTGATTAATTTTAATGTAGAAAAAACTAAAAATAATCATAAAAAGCCTAGCATTCATCACATCATAAGTAGGCATATCATAGTTAAACATACAATAATGCAAATAAAATACCCAATAACAAGGGCATCAATCTACCCATGTCCTAGGTCTTGCCTCCCTACTCCTACGGGATAAATATCCATATCATCTATATCACACTACTGCAGACTCATCACATTGCGTATGCACATCATAGAAAAACTATACATCAGTGACTTATAATATTACATCACCCGAATCATATCCAATGTATTCTAGAAAACACATAAATCTACTGTATATAACCAGACGTAAGGAAACTACACAGCTGTGCAATACATATGCATATACTGTAAGGGTAGATATCTAAAGGAAGAAATCAATGATTCTCTCCATGCTTAGACAAATTTTTATCAAGGTGGGTAAGATTAATGATCTGCTACAGGAGCACATATACACATGAGGCCAATCATTAAGATGAAATAAAAGCACGTCTACCTATAACATACTAGCCAACCTAAAAAAAAACACAATTTACATCACTGACTATGAAAACATAAATAAATTAGTAAGAAAAATATCCATTCTGTTGTACAATCAACATTTAGGTAGGTTGTTCAGGCATAAAACTCAGTTCTACTCAATCCAGCTTCCTTAGTCGACCCTCTCTTGTCTATTAATATTCTGAAATCTCTAGCTTCTTTCCACTTCCCTAAAGAAGCACATATGCCAGCAAGTAATAACTGGTTCCCTGTTCCCTCATTCTCCACCTCTGGTTTCTTGGGCAAAATGTTTTCCTGATGAACACCGCCAATAGTTCTTAATGCGCTAAGAAAAGGAGACCATAAGTGACTTCTTAATTCCATCGGCACGCGGCGAATGAATTCCAAAGATGAATCAAAGTGTCCCGCTCTGCTCAAAAGATCCACCACACATGAGTAATGCTCTTTGCTTGGCTCCATACCATATTCCTGTTGCATGCTTGTGAAGAAATTCAAACCAACCTCAACCAAACCAGAATGGCTACATGCTGACAAAACATCAGTAAAAACTACTGCATCTGGTTCAATATTTCTGTCCTTCAGCATCTCCTTAAACAGAGCCAGTGCTTGTTCTCCCTTGCCATTAAAAGCGTAGCAATTTATCATGGAGCTCCATGCTGTCAAGTCTTTATGAGAAAGAGTATTGAATATTTCTTCGGCTCTCTCTAAACTTCCACACGAACAATACATGTGGATCAATGATGTTTGGATTTTCAAGTCTGATTTAATCCAACGGGCATCCATATGAGCAATAATTTTCTCAGCAGCAGAGAGCGAACCAATGCTGGCACAAGCTGATAGTATAGTGATGATTGTTATTTTGTTTGGTAGCACATTCGCATTTAACATATTCTCAAAGAGATCTAATGCTGTTCTTGGAAGCCCAGCTTGAACATAACCGCTAATTATTGAAGTCCAAGGGAGGACATCCTTCTCAATGAGAGGATCAAAAAACTTCCGAGCAGAAATTATATCACCACATTTAGCAAACATATTAACTACTGAAGCTGCCACATCTGGTTCAGAATCCAAACCGCTTCTGATCAAAAGAGAAAGCACAGAGAATGCGATCAACGATCTTCCAAACAGAGCATGGGAGGAAGTGAGATTGACATACACAATAGCATCCAAACCTACTTGCTTCAAGCGCATTTGATTGAAGATATTCAACATTTTACAAAAATCTCCAATTTTTCCATAACAACCAATGACTATGGTGTAAGTGATAGTTGTTCTTTCAATCATCGAATCAAAAAGATATATTGCATCATCAATCAAATTAAACCTTACATACATACCCAAAATTGAGTTCAAGAGGAGCATATCTGAATGAAACCCAAGTTTAATACCATAACAATGGACCGACATACCTTGTTGTAAGGAAGAGGTTGAGCAAAAGCACCGTGATACAAGGCTGACGCAAGTGCTTGAGGTTGGCGTGAAACAAGAAGAGCGCATTTCATTGAAAAGCCGAAATGACTCCTGTGTATAGAAATTCTTGGCACAAGCAGAGATTATAGAGTTCCAGGAAACCACAGTTCTGTTTGGCATCTCATCAAACAGCTTGCATGCCTCCTCCAAGTAAGAGCATTTGGAATACATATGCAAAAGAGAAGTCTGGACAAAGACGTCAGATTGGAATCCAAGTGAGATTACATGCGCCTGGACTTTTCTGCCGGACCATATGGAAGCCAGCTGAGCGCAGGCCTTTACCACCAAGGTAAAGGTAAGGTGATCGCCATGACAACCAGATTTTAGCAATGAGGAGTAGAGATCAAGGGATTCTAAGAAAAACCCACCTCGGGTGGAGCTTTGGATCAGTAGATTCCATTTCCGGCAAGGAGAAAACTGCATGGAATTAAGCGCTTAAACTTCTCAAGTTGTAATTTTTGATACATCGTTTATGCAATCAAACCAAAGAGGTGATCAGATAAGGTTCGGTGGCTTTGGAAGGGGCCTCCAACAAATCATAAAAGCCAACTATAACTTCTCTTTGAAACATAAGCGCCATCTTGTGCCCTGTAATTTCCGAAAGCTACTACTAGTAGTTATTATTATTATTGCTTTGGCAATACAAATACTTCCATGTTATAGAGTGGGGCGAGCGTTTGGATTGATCAGCAGTCAAATTGGTTGAATCTCAAATCTAAAAGTCAAAAACTTAAACCAATAAAAAGTTTTGATAAAACCTTATCTAAGTAAAATTTAATTCAATTTAAATTAGTTATGAACAAACTAAAATTTAATTATTAATTGGAGTTCTATTATGAACAAACCTCAAGAATTTATTTAACTTGTATATATAATATTAATTTAATTCGTAAATTGATGAAAATATTGATTTTCTTTAGGTTTATTTAATAAAGAAGTTAAAAATATAATAAGAAAGTTTAACTAACTTCTGATTTTTAGGTTTGTTTAGTTAAATGAAAATTAAAATTGAACCAACAACCAAAACCCGAAAAAATTAAGGTTTTAGAAAACAAAAACCAAAATGCATTTTTAGAATAAAAAATAATAACCAAACTTGTTAGGCTCGGATTAGTTTTTTCAATTTTGACAAAATAATGAATGCCTGTACTAATAATAATAAAAAGATGAAAAAAAACAATGTATGTTTTTTGAATAAAAATATTTGAAAGTTTCATTTGGGTCATAATGCCCCACTTTTGACGATGTATCACTTTTGAAGCTTATTAAACTAATATTGGTATGACAATATTGCAATAATTATGCAGCAAAGTCTAAGATTATGTTTGATACTTATTAGAAATAAAAGTATTTTTGTAATATTTCAATATGATTAGAATATTGATTAAGCAAAATCGTATTAAAGCTCGAATATTATTCTAAAATAATTTAATATGAATTTGTAGATTGTTGAAGCTTGATCAAAGATGATTCAGTCGTAATATGATAATTATTCAAAAACAATTTAAATGTAATTCAAATTTTGGTATACTATGATTCAAGAATTATTCGATTATGATTTATAAATTTTTTTAGCATAGTTTGAAAATAAGTTAAACATAATTTACACATAAATTATAACACAATCAAATTATAAGATTAATACAACAAAAGTTAAATAGTCACAAAAACAAAATATTAGAGCTATGGAAATACAAAAACTAAAATTGAACATTAATGCATAATAGATGTAATTTCATAAGCAATGGGAATTTGATTAATGATATGATTAATGTACACATGGTACTTTTGTTTTCATCAAAATAGAAATAGATATTGGATCTAATTTATTGTGAAGTTATATAACAGGATTCTAAACTGCACAAATATCAAAGAAAGATGCCAATACATGGCAAATAAAGTGGGATCCACTGTCAAATCATATAGAGATCAGTGAATGTTTATTTAGTTTATAGAGTAAAAGCTAGTGTCGAGTCAAGGAAGAAAGTATCTCAAGACACTAAAAATTCATTCCCTTCGATCGGTGAGTCGACTAAAAAACATAGCACAATGAAGAGTCAGTACATATACGGTCGAATGAAGAACAATTCCACATCATGCCAAGAGGAGAATATTACTACATCCAACCGAATGAAGTAGGTTGACTTAAGAATTAAGAAAATCTGCAAATGGGTTTAGTCAAGAGGTCTATGTGTCGTTCTTTTGTGTTGATTGACCCTCCATCATTGAATGAACGAACATGAATGCTATTCCTTACTTCCTATATATGCCATTTACTCTGAAGGCTAATGTTACTTATGAAATGCATATATACATCATTTATGTAATAGAAGAATGGGGATATATAAATGTTAGCTTATGACCTCCTTGTAAATAGTCAAGGAGAGGATGATTGTCTTGTTCTCCTAAAATCTCTATATAAAACAATTCATACGGAAAAAGTACTTAGGTTTTATGTGTTGATTGAAGGAATCCAAAGCAACAATGAGAATATAAAACGATCTTTAATATATTATGCTCTAAACTTATAGTAAGCTCAAAAGTTTGTGGGCAAGTTCACCATTGTCAAACAATTTATCACTACAAGCATTTCTTTCTCATCAACACTCTTTATAAATCAAAATAGCTCATTTAAGAAGATGGTTGCAAGATGTCTTTCCAGTATAAGAGATATTTATCACAAATTTTCTCTAGTCTTGGGTAGTCCTTAAACCATAAAGGATCTAATATTATAACTAAGAGTATGTTGCCACGCTTAGATCAATGGTCATCTAAGAGAAATCTAAATATCATTTTGCATATCATTTCACAAGAACCAAACTCACCTTCTCAAATGCTTAGAAGACTGATCTTTATGTGGTTGCCTTCTTTAAATTTTTAAAGCCTTATTTTCAATTTTATAATATTGAAGTCATAACATATGCCCTTGTTCTATAAGTGGTGTAGAATCCTAAGATATATCGACAATATTTATAAAGTAATCAATGTGGCTCATTTAGCCTAAACAACCAAAATAAACTTGGATATAATATAAGATATCAAGCAACATCAAAGAACAAAGGGAAAAAACAAGCTGCTAGGCCAACATCATTGAAATGGTCATATATAAATAATAGTCACAACAAATTCAAATAATAGAATACTCTTATGTTTAAAACACACACACACACACATAAATAATAGTCACAACAAATTGGTCATATATAAATAATAGTCACAACAAATTCAAATAATAGAATACTCTTATGTTTAAAACACACACACACACACACACATATATATATAACGGTGCGTGTGACTTTTGGAATATACCAAAAACATTTGCATAGCAAAATTAATTTATATAAATAGCTAACCAAATGTTCTAGAAAAACGTTCTTTTCGATATTTATGCTTATTAGCAATTGCCTATTGGTACTTTACGAGACACAACATCCATATCAGCATTGTCTCATGATTTTTTCTAGTTCCTGTCAATTTTAAGAATTCATCTCGTTCTTAGGAAATCTCTTAAAGGTCTCAAGAACTTTTCTCGGGCCTTGGAAAGCATTTCTCATTATTGGTAGAGCCACATCAAATTAGACCCAACTCATCTCAACCTTAGGTTATTCTTCATATGCAATTTATTGTGATGCGGATATCATCAAAACGTCAAGTACACTAATTATTGCCAGCACAATAACCTCCCAAATTAAAGTGGGAATAATTGTGCTTCAAATATCTCATAATTATTTTATGATGAATTAAAACCAATAGCTAATATACATTTTGTCAATGTATTATTGACAGTAATGCATGCCATCAAGACATCTTATTTAAATCTCCGTCCCCCGACACGCAGCTTCAGCCGAAACAATCGCCTACATTCCCCTGCTCTCTGGTGACCGAAGCACTCGCCATACAGTCACGTCTAAAGCTAGCTGGGAAGGCAACGACGGTATCGTGGCGTACGAAGACGTCCGAAACTCTCATATTTCTCCTCCTTCCGCTCCGCTTCTACCCGAAACGATCGAGGAAGGTAACCCTCGTCTCTCTCCCCCGTTCTTCCACCCGCCTTCGGGATCTTCAGCTCCTCTAAATCCGGTAATTCCGTCTTCCTGCGGGCTTCGCTAAATCCTGGATTTAAGGAAAGACGGAGCAAATACGGGTTTTAAGAACCTGTCGGATTTAAGTTGCCTTTTTGCTGTTTCGCTGGATTTAGCTTAAGTACTGCTTAGATCCTGCTCAAACCCTCCCTGCCCGCCTTAATAGGATGCTACTTTTTTTGAGTTATCCAACAAGGGTGCTCGCTGGATTAAGGGTTTTAATCACATTCACTTCTTCCTCTTCTTACCCGAAACATAGCTAGAGAAATTCTAGATTAACTTAATAAACTTAATAAACTTCACTTTTGTAATCATAAATTTGTATATTAAGAAATTTTCATACCTGAGTTTGATGGAAGGCTTGCTATTAGGATTACATTCATGTTCAAGTTGATTTCCTAGGAAAACATTTTATTTTTAATTTCACTGAGTTCATTCTCTTTAAAGTTCGGAATCCACTATTTGGTTATTATATACATATATATTATATTTGGAGTTGTTAACTGCTCAGAACATGGCTAGTTTTAAATGATTAGGCATATCAAAGGTTCTAAATTATTGACTTGCAAGCCTCTTCAATATGTTTATTGTGGAAATCTGAGAATATTTGGTTCTTTTCATATTTACCTCTCACATGAACTGGCTGCACTCCAAATCTTTGAGGATTTGATTGGGATATATTAGGAAACTTTTGATTGGTTTATTTCTTTCCTATTTTATATTTTTCTATTTTCTTATTTATAATTATTTCTTTTCTAGTTTAAGGAAGATATATTTGGTAAGTTTATAAATAAGGACAAAATTTCTGATCTATATATGTAACATATTTGTGAACAATGAAAGCTTTAAATCAAGCCCTGGCCGTCGGAGCTCCTCTTATTGCAGTCAGACTTCCTGCCAAGTGGCTGAACACTTCCCTGCAGCCTCACCCTGCTACAGGTTTCCTGGATTCTACCTACAGGCTTCCCTGATCTCTCCTTGCTACGGGTTGAAGGCTGAGCAGGCTCTTCCTTACAGGCGTTAATCCCTGCAGGTTTCCGACGTTTCCTCCTTACGACTTCCCGGCATCCCAGACATCCTCTATATGTTATCTTTCAAGCAGAGCAATCCAACTTGCATCTGTCCGTAGGAAACTCCAGCCCTAAACAGAGCAGTCTCCTTTCCTGGCTGTTCTTCTCTGCAGGCTTTCTTGCAGGTCTTCCCTCCTGCGGTCAGACCTTCTTCACATCTCCTCTAGCAGCCGGAACTAGCAGCATAAATTTTCTCCAACAGCAGTCCAACATTGGAATCCTCCCTGCAGCCCCTAACCAGGCTGCAACATGGACATTCCTTGCCGCAAGCCCCTCATTCTTTGGCCGAATCTTCCTTCAGCAACGATAACTGCCAGAAATGGCAACAGCAACAACCAGCAATGGCAGGAGCAACATCAGAAATAATAGCATGTCTTGCAACAACTTGAACACCTGCTATTTTTTTTTTTCTTCCTTTCATGCATCCATCTATCTGCATAATTGAAAAAAATTCAACTCTTGCCATTGCAGTCAACTAGGAGATGCTCTAAACACTCTTGGAGATGATGACAACACTGGATGAGGATGTTAAATTTTACTCCGTAGGTGAATTTTAAGTTAAAGACTAGGGATGCTGTCCACATGACTCCCGAACTCTCTAACTTTATTACAATTCATAAATTAAATGGTCATAACTATCTTTCATGGCCAAATCCGTGTTTATGCACATTTGCAGTAAAGTGAAAGAGGAACATGCACTGTTTTTGAGATCATTGACCCCAACTATCGCACATAGAAAAATCAAGATCATATGGTTATGCCTTGGTTAGTCAACTCAATGACTGCTTAAATGGGAGAGAATTTTCTGCTTTACAAAACTACTAAAGAAATTTGGGAGGCTGCAAGAGAAATATATTCCAACACTGAGAACACGACATAGTTGTTTGAGATCGAAATCAAGCTCATGACATCCAACAAAGAGGGCTGAACGTCACCTCACCCAATATTTCAACAGTCTCAAAGTATTAGCTACAATTGGAGATATTCGAGACACATGTGTGAAATTATTCACAAGCTACCATGATATTTAAATCCATCATTGAGAAAAAGAGGAGAATCAAATTCCTTGTAAGACTGTCTCAGGAATTGAATGAGGTGAGAGAGAGGGTCATGGGAACAAAACCTCTTCCACCTCAATGTGAAGCCTTTGCTGAAGTTACGAGAGAAGAGATTAGAAAGAAGCTGATGCCGACCATAAATGCATTTACCAAGCATTAAAAGTTCATCTCTTTACACCCATAATCCTTCTCATGATTCAAAGGTAAAGAAGAATTGTCCCACATGTGATTATTGTAAGAAGACCGGCTATATCAAAACAAATATTATAAACTCCGTGGAAAGCTTATTGATTGAAAACCTGGGTAGGGAAGGAAGGATAAGAGAAAAAGGCTAATGCTGCTACAAAATCCAAAGGATTGAAGGAATCATTCACCAAGAAACGATTTGAAGTACTGAAGAAAGAACTTGAAGGTACTTCAGAGTAAGACACCAACCTCATGACACGCGAGGTCATAAATTCTTCTTCCATCTTGCCAGTAATGTGAGATTTAAAACTTAGATAATAAAATTATGAATCTTTGATCACATGATAGGAGACATCAATGCTCTATTCAACTCTCAGAAGACTTCTACATCTAGATCGGTAAGATTTGTTGATGGATCACACTCAAACATCGTTGTGAATGGAGATGTGAATATCTCTCAAGATATTACTATTTATTTCGTCTTATATGTTCCTCAACTTGACTGCAGTTTGATTTCAATTAGTAAATTTACTCATGATATGAAATGTATAATTAAATTTCATGCAAACCCTTGTGAATTTTAGATCGTGAAATTAAGGAAAGTGATTGACAGTGCTGAAATGCACCAATACTTGTACCTCCTTAAGTAAAATATCTCTAAACAAACAATTGATCCTGCATTCACGTCCCTCAAATTTTTTAGCATGTTGAGTCTATGTTTGTCGAAAAATAAGTTATATGACTTTGTCGTCTAGGTCATACTAATTTCAATTATGTAGCTAAGTTGTATCCATATTTGTTTCTCAATAAAAAGCCTAATTTTTATCATAGTCAAACTTTTCAACTTGCCAAACATACTAGTAATAATTATCCCTCGACTCAGTATAGACCCTCAAATCATTTTTTTTCATTATTCACAATGATATTTGGGGACCTTTAAAGATTAAAACCCTTAGTGAGGCTAGATGGTTTGTCTAATTTTTTGACAATCATATTAGAACTAGTGTATTTCTAATGAAGAAAAAATCTGAAACATCTCAAATCTTTCAAACTATCAAATCAATTCAAATTCTCAAAATTGATAATGCAAAAAAATATTTCAACTCCGTTCTTGGGTTTTATGTTTCGAAAAATAAATTAATACATGCGAGTTAATGTATTGATACCCCACAATAAAATGAAGTAATAGAGAGAAAGAACATGCATTTATTTGAGGTATTTCGCTCAATTATGATTTCTCATCAAGTTATAAAGTATTTTTGGGGTGTAATAGTTTTTACCGCAACATATCTTATCAATTAAATTTCTAGCCATTTCATGTTTTGATGGTTACCAATCCACACATTAGAGTTTTTTCTCTTATTATACCACTTAAAATCTTTGGGTGTGTATTTTTTGTTTACATTAATTCTCAAATCCGCACCAAACTTGACCCTAAATATAGCAAGTATATTTTATTTGGATATGCTTCCATTAAAAGGGATATACGTGTTATTCTCCTTTTACCAGAAGATAGAACTTCATGGATGTCACATTTATTTAAAGTTTATTTTATTATCCCAAATTTGATGTTCAAGGGGAGAGTGCAAATAAATATCAATTTCGGGATGCACTAGATGACACATACACAACAAACTCACATACTTCTTTTCCTACTCTTCCACCCAACTCTCCCGCTCTTAGTGAGGATATCCAACCAACCCAAATTGAAGTCCACAATAAAGAATTTTGTGTGTATACTAGGAGGAAGAAAAATCTTGAGCAGACCGAAGACAACTTGTAAAGACAGAACTATTACAACCAAAATCTAAGTTCACATTTACCTAAAATTTTGGGTGAGGAATCTAGTACTCATGAGTTATCTCTCTTATGGTGCCGATGACAATGAAAATTGTACGAGATACCCAATTCAAGAGTATGTAGGTTATGGAAAGCTATAGTCGGCCTATAGAGTGTTTATATCTTATCTTACCTTTATAATGTGCAAATTCCTAAATCCATTCACGATGCTCTTGAAAATTTAGAATGGAGGAAAGCAATGGAAGAAGAGATTCAAACACTAAAGCATAATGACACATTGGTTATTACTAAACTTCCCTAGGATAAGAAGCCAATGAGGTGCAAATGAGTATTCAACATAAAATACAAAGTTGATGAGAGTGTTGAGATTCAAACTAAACTTATTGCTAAAGACTTCATGCCTATAAAATTGACTATCAAGAAATCTTCACACCAGTTGTTAAACTTAAAACTATCATAGTTTTTTTCTCAATAGTAGTTAATAATGAATGTGGATTGCATCAATTTGACATGAAAAAGCCATCTTGAACGAGGATTTGATGGAAGAGTTGTACATGGAGATATTGGTGCGGAAATTTTTGTTCGCCAACGCCATAGTGCCTTTCGGAAGACATTTATCTAGATGTCGAGCATGATATTCCGAAGAATATTATGTCCTCCAGAAGAAAGAGAATATTACCTTAGATATGGACCTAACCACTCGAATGATGAAAGCCTTCTTTCGGTCTACGGAATTAGGGTTTTTTCCCTTACTTCACGAGTGTAAGATAATGTTTATTTTAATTATGGGACATTGCTTCTTACTAGGGCAAAACCTCGCAGTTAATTGCATTCTTAAGGTCATGAATCATAAAAAACTCTCAATTAATGTAATGAGTCGAATTATGAAAGGACTTAATTGATTTGAGCTCAAAAGGGTAGAAAAGCTTGATTATCCAATAAAGTAGGTCTCATATTCGGAGGTGGTTTTGAAAGGATTGAAATGCTCTTTACACTGATTAGATAGGGTTTACAAGGTGAATTAGTGATATTTAAAATGACAGACATGAATTAACTCGAACCCCTATACTGTAGAGTAAGGTAGGAAAGATTTCTAGATGAAAAATCGAACCTAAACTATATAAAGAAGCCTAACAATTGGACTAACCTAGACACTAAGAATGATTTACTTGGTTAAGATGCTCATGACTTTCCGTTGTACCAGGAAATCAGAAGTCATCAGGTATAACCAGCCTCATAACCAGGAACCCCCCTTAAATGTCGTAGCTTAAAGGATTCGTAGTCTCAAGGAGGTTTGAAATACTTTCGTCAGTAATCATGGTTTACATCATCCTAAGGCATTCCCTTTAGTTGCAGGGGATAGGTTGAGGTGTTTTGTATGTTCTAGTTCTTAATTCTTGCTAGATACCGAAACTGACATAAGTTTTTATACTCAAACTAAGCTGGGGTAAGTGTATGACCCTCAATTATGGTGATTACATTAGCTAACCTAGGATTCATGTCGAATCTGTCGAGGTTTAGTTTCAGTTATTTATTTTGGTGTATTTTAATTGTAATTTGAAGTTCAATATGCAATTAAGCATTTGTTTTAATTCCTAGATATTGTAAGCCATGTTGGATAATCAAAATTTTCTATTGTAATTTGAAGTTCAATATGCAATTAAGCATTTGTCTTAATTCCTAGATATTGTCAGCCATGTTGGATAATCAAAATTTTATAAGTTTTGAAGTTTGTTATTTTTATATTTTTGTTTGAGAAGAAAACCACCTGAAAGTGGATTCTATTTTTTGTTTTAGGGTTTGGGTTAGGTTGTGCTAGGCCTGAGCTGGGTCGGGTCTAGTTTAGTTTAGATCTTGGTTGGGTTAGACCTGGGTTAGATTTAATGGTCTGGGTTAGGTTGGGCTAGACATGAGAAGGGTCGGGTCTTGGCTTGGTTAGGTTTGGGTCGTGTTAGACCTGGTTTAGGCTTTAGGGCTTGGGTTAGGTTGGGCTGGACCTGAGTTAGGTTGGATCTAGGTCGGGTCAGGATTGTTGGGTCAGACCTGGGTTAGGTTTTAGGATTTGGGTAAACCATTTTAGAGATTAGGAGTAGGTCGAGTTTGGGTTGACCCGAGTTGAACCCAAATCCAAGTCTAATCCAAGGCTATTGAGTTGGCCTAGACTAGACTCTTTTTTTTTTTACTTAAAACTTAAATTAAATGCTTAAATTAAACACTTAAAACGAAGAGGAAAGGGAGGGAATATTTACCAAGCGGTGGCTGACCGGAGAATTTGCTTCACCACCGGATCTCTTCAATTCCTTCGAGCATGCGCAAAGCCGAGAACGAGAAGAGTCAATGTGCTCGTGTGTGTAGAGAGGGATGTTCAGAGATGCACGAACAACTGCCTTTTATGGGCGGTGATTGCTGCCTCGGGCCGTCAACTGTTGCCAGACATTTTTAGCCGTCCGATCTAGTGGACGGTTGGGATGAGGATATGTGCACAAAGGCCATGGATCAGTGACACTGAGCTAGGGGCGTGGCTACACCCAAGATGGGGCATGACCACGCTTAGGCGTGGTCGCTCCCCGCCTGGCCTGACCACGCAAGACCCAGAAATGAAAAAATGCTGCTCTTAAAGGTTCATAGGCACTAGGACTCTTCCAGAAGCTCCATATGCCTCCGGAAGCTATATGTGATTCAAAAAGGAGGTCAACACATATCATTAAGATTTGAGAATGATTCCGACAAATATCTTGTATGCAAACTCGGAAAGCATTTTAATGGGCTTAAACAATCACCAAGAAGATGGTTTGAAAGGTTTTCTAAAATTATGTAATCCAATGAATATTCTCAAACTCAAGCATATCATACATTGCTCATAAAAAATAATTAGAGAGATATCATTACTACTTTGATTGTACATGTAGTTAATATGATTCTTATTGGTGATAATGAAAGAGATATTCTTAAAATCAAAGAAGTGATTGTTGCTGAGTTTGAAATCAAAGACCTAGGAAACATAGATGTTCTTTTATGTATAGATGTAACAAGTTCAAGAAAGGGATTGTTATATAACAGAGAAAATATATTTTAAATATGTTGAATGAAATATAGATGATTGGATGCAAACCTGTTGATACTTCAATGAAACCCAACAAGAACTCTAACAAGAAAGAAGAAATATATATGTGGATAATGGAAGATACCGAAGATTTATAGGACAACTCAACTATCTGTCACATATTGTGTCAGTTATTGCATATTTTGTTAGTATTGTAAGCCAACACATGAATAACTGACATAAAGAGTATTTGGAGATAGTTTACAGGATTCAAAAGTTTCTCAAGAAGACTTCTGATTATGAATTAATTTTTGAGAAAACTAAAAATAGAGTAGAAGTTTACACGTATGCTAGTTGGGCGGGAGAACTTACTAATTAGGGGTGTAAACGAGTCGAGCTTGATCAAGCGTAGACTTGGCTTGTGTTTGACTCATTAAAAAATACCATTTTTCATGTTCGGCTCA